TAAAGATAATAAATGAGGAACAAGAAGAATGTTTGAGAGAATAACTTGAAAGGTGAGGTAACTAGAATATTGCTATCTTTGTTATAACAATCCGTATGTTGATTTGTCATTGAAAACTCCTATAAATAGGAGTACATGATACATCGTACAAACTGACTTACATACATAAGACTGGATAATAGAGTTACTTCTGACACTCTGATTATCCAAGTTGACAAAAGAGATTTAGTCCTATGATATGTTAAATCAAGCTAAATGACAAATACAATTAATACAAACGGACAAAGTATATTCGGACAACATCAACTCCTGAACATAGACATTGTTTCGGACACCATCTTCACTCCTGAACTTAAATGACTCTGAAACGCTTCTGACTTCGGAAACACCATCTGACTCCGGAACAGGCTGACTACGGAACATACAAGGATAGTGATTGCTAGAGGTTCACTTTCAGGTTCCAACAGTATCTCCTTTTGAGTACAAGTGAGATATACACGGAGGGAATGACTTTAAAACTTGTCATTGATCCGAGAGTACGGATTAGACTTAGTCAGTTGTCCTTAGTCCGAGAGTATGGATAGGACATAGTTATCTGTTACTAATCCGGGGGTATGGATTAAGACTTAGTCAATTGTCCCTAGTCCGAGAGTATGGATAGGACATAGTTATTTGTTATTAATCTGGGAGTATGGATTAATACATAGTCAATTGTCCCTAGTCCAAGAGTATGGATAGGACATAGTTATTTGTTATTAATCCGGGAGTATGGATTAGGTAAAGAGGTTAATTTTAGATTCTAGAGTATAGACTGTGTCGGTTTGAGGATCGACGGGGTGGGGTAAATTGCTTATATGAGGTGAATTTGTATATGTTGTGATGTTCTAATATATATATATATATATATATATATATATATATATATATGATATAACATTGTGGGATTGAAATCTCTATGTACTCACCAGGTTTCCCAACCTGAACCACTAAGTTTAATTGTATCACAGGTGTCGATATGAAGCTACATTACACTGAGAGATTAAAGGAGATATAGATCACTAGTGTAAATGAATGTAAGGTCTGTTTATGCTTATGTTTCTGTATTGACGATGACATCCCAAAGTTTTAATAAAAAACAAAATACATTTCTTCGGAAATGCTTTGATAATATATTTATCATGTTTTTCTGGGAACAAATTCCGCCATATTATTCTTTAAAAATTATACTCTGATTTTCAAATAAAGCATAAACAAATCGGTCTTTTCTGGCCGTGAAATTGGGGGATGTCACACATAATGGCAAGACTATGGTTGGCACATAGCACTTTTATTGATTGTTGGATATGTATGATATGTATGCCCTGTTTGATATGTATGGTATGTGGTATTTGGGGAACTCACTAAGCTTTGTGCTTAGAGTTTGTGATTTATGGTTTCAGGTACTTCCGGTTCGAAAGGGAAGGGTCCGGCTTGATCGCAACGCGTACACTCATGTTTTGCGCAATATGTGATTTTGGGAATGAGCTCTGATAATTGTTTTATTTTGAAATGCTTTTAAATGTTTGAATAAAAGTTACATAAGTGTTTTGATTATAATAAAAATGAAAATTTTACCCTATGATTTTCGGGATGTTACAGTTCACTTCGTGCGCGTCGTGCACACGACTTGTGGCTTCATCCAGAGTTTTCCATGTGTCACAGTTCTGATGGTCCACGTCTCTCAAATCTCGACGAATCTGGGTATCATACGTGCCCGTCAAGCATGACGCGCACTTGGCGTGCAACTCTAAATCTTTTATAAAAATTCATATATTCATTATATGTATCTTGTTTCTTACCCTCTTTATATATATGTGTAGTTCTCTACTAGTATTACAACTTTCCTTAAGGTTGCGTTGCTAAATTTTAACTTTTATTTTTAACATGTATTTTATATTTTTCTAAAAATCGTATCTTCTTTATACGAACTCCGTTTTTGACATTTTTCCTTTTATTGTTCTTATCTCTCGGAGTACTATAATTTTCCTTTTGGTGACGTTAGCCAAAACTAAACTGATTTCTTTATACCATTTTAACGTTAATAGCGTTGTTAACGCGATTGATTTTAATTTTTTTTTTATAAAATCATAACTCCACCAATCGGAGTCAGATTTATACAAAGTTTATATCCTTGGAACCACTTTGTTGTGCACTTTCCAAGTACACTAAACATTATTAAAAGTGGTATAACTTTTTGGTCACTTATTTTTGGATCCGATTAATCTTTTTCTTACTTAAAAATTATAGTATATCTAATCATATTTTTCTCGAAATATGAAAAACTCTATTATTATCATTTGTCGATGCTAATTTCTAGCGATGGTTGATGACACGGATTTCCTAATTGTCACAAGTGGGCTTAGTGAAGTTTCAATGGCAGCATCAGAAAGGTTTGTAGTGGACTTAGGAGCCAGAGGAGGAGATCAGGGAACATTGCCCACTGTTATTTGCAGTAGCGGACTTCGAGGGCGAAGTCTGATTCTAGTGGGGGAGAATTGTAACACCAAATGCAGGTATTCAATCTTTTTATGATTTGATTTAATAAGATGAAAAACCTTCAAAATAGTTGGTCAAGACGTGACCATCGATACAGAAATGCGTGTCCGTTTTTGGTGGTCACGGAGTGAAGAAGGGTTTACCTTAATTCCGTGTTTTGCGCCCTATTTAAGGGAAGTGAGGGGCTAAGGTTTGCACACCCTCAACCTCCATCATCTCTCTCCTGTCCAAATCGATGTTAGCCTCCATTGTAACCTTGAAGAGCTCACTTGATGGTTTTAGCTCCTTGTTGAAGAAGACTCCTTGGGTGATCATTGTTGGCAAGCAAGTCCTTTCCTCACCACCTTGCATTGCTTCTGGACCTTTGTAAGTCCTGAAGATCTTGCATTTCTCTTTAATGCATGCTAAATCTAAGTTTTATTCACTGTTCTTCATGGTTGGGTTATGTAGCATGCATGGGATCCATAAAGTTGGCAACTTTATGGATCATCAAGGCCTTGTAGGTAGTATAGACCTCAAATATGAGGTTTGGTGGTAGTTTGGACTCCAAGCTTGATCTTTTGGTCTCATTTCTCTCTTTAATGACCTAGTTAGTGTTCAAGTCATGTATTGGACATGCATGACTAAAAAGCTATGATTTTTATGGTCCTTTGGGTTGGGGAAAACCTTCTGGAAGGTTTGAAGGATTGGCTTAAGAGATTAAGAGCTTAATGCTCTAGGTTATCTGGAATAGATCTCACGACGTGACGAGTTGTGTGTCACGTCGTAACGAGGGGGTGATTTCGTGTTTGTTTTGTCTTAGCTCTGTTACGACGTGACTCATGGGTGGTCACGACGTGACAATCAGCAGAGGTTGACCTTTGTGTTAACCTTTGACCATGGTTCACTTTTTGGGTCAAACTAGGGTTTTAGGGTATAGACGGAAAGGGTATCTCTTTATTGCTGTTAGGTGACTTGTTGTACCTGTGTACTCTCTGTGTGTGAGCTGTGGTATTTTTTTAGTTGCTATTCATGAGGTGAGTCTTCTCACTATATTACCTGCGTAGTAGTGTATACATGCTGACGAGCTAGGTCCTACTTGTTGATTGATATTATTTGTGAAATCGTGTTGTTGATATCTTATGAACAGCTGTGAGTCCACGGGACTGCTGATAGTCCCCAGGTTACTGATAATCCCTGAAATGTGTTGTTAATCCACAGGGTTGCAGATAACCCATAGTTGTTTATTTTTGCTTAAATGTATGTAATATTCTAGGAAACTCACTAAGCTTTGTGCTTATAGTTATGGATTAAATGTGTTTCAGGTACTTTAGATGATCGCGGAAAGACGAAACCTTGACTGTACACTACGACCTGCAGATTTTATAATTTTCCGCATTTTGGCACTCTGATATGGATAATTGTATTTGTTTCACCTCAGAATTTTTTGACTTGGTTTTTATAACATAAGATGTTTTCTTTACACTAAAAATGAAAAATTTGTGGTAAAATTTGGGATGTTACAAAAGAAGTAGGATAACTTTCAAAACATGCCTTGGTTTTAATTTAGGAATTGTTTCGTCCGAGAAATATTGGTGAGATATGTGCAATTACCACTAGAAGATGTTGACATTGAGCTGCTCCATGATGCTACTAGAAGAGAAGCGGTGGTGGTTAGAAATATGAAATATGCTATCTATTTAGGAGAAAACATATGAGATTGATCGTAAGGTTAGTTCTATCTTACGTCATTAGTGGTTATAAAGCTTTCTTTTCGATTATTGTAATGAACTATTATTAATATTTTAGAAATTTATATGGTGTTGCAGCTTCGTTCAATCTTACTCTTAAAAATGGACATTATAGCCGAAGGTGTTCCTGAATATAACACGAGGGAGTTGATTTCCTATGAATGGTAAAACACAAAGTAATTACAATAATACCCTTGCATGACTACTTGCATCACAACTTTAATCATAGTTAAAACATTGATGGTTCTTACATGTTATCATTGGACGTGAAGCCGAAGCTTTGCAAGATTGGTGATACTGCTAGAACAATGGATAACATTATACAATTCAAAATGTACACACCTGGATCTGTTGGATTTGTCTCCAAATTTATAAGCAAACATGATTGACTTAATTAAAAGTCTTCTAGAATCTTTAGTTTTTCTTTTATTCATATGTGGGTATGAATTAAAATGCAGGCACAATATAACGTGTTAAGGAGTGTTTGGAACTAGATTTTAAATGCCAAAAGAGGAGGAAAAGAGAGAATGAGTTGTATTGCTATAAAAATATATGTTAGGTTTCAAAATTATCAACTCAACTTTCTTTACTTGATCAATTATATTTAAAACTGAAAAAACACACTAAATATTTATCATCATAAACCTCTCTCATACAAGTTTTTCAATTTAGCATGAGGATCCAAATACTCATCAAAACATAACCACAATATCTCTCTCTATTGAATTCTTTGTTTCACCACCCACCAATTGGTTCACACAGTGTTTGAAGTGCTGATCTTGCTTCTTGATTATTTTTAGCATTCATGGCCTCCGAAGTGACAGCTTTGAACATCTCCTTTAGTTGCTTCAGACTTAGACTTATATGGGAACAAATGAAAGAAGGATGTTAAAATCAATATATTGTTTTTATATCGGTCAACCCGTCCACTGGACAGGTATAACATTAATTAGTTATTACCAAAGAGAGGCAAAGAACAAAAACTTAAACGTATATGTAAACATGCGGCAAGATTATGAATTACCTCTTCAAAAGTTGCATTAATAATAAATTAGATGATTTTTGTAATGTTTACGAAAGTGAAAGGGTGTAACTATATGACAAAATCGGATAAGGAATGGAATGGTTCAATCCTTTGGAATGAAGAAAACTGTAATATAACCCATTTTTATTAATAAAGTATTTAATGACACAAATCTTTCTTGCAATTTCAATATTTTAATTAAATTATGATTTTATTTTCTAAAGTAACTAGAAATTACTTTTTTTATTATAATCCTGTTTGGTTTTAATGAGCTTTCATAATAAATTCTATAATTATAACTTAATAGTATAAAGAATAGTGACTTTGTATTTAGATGGAACATATATATAATTCCCATCCATCCAAGTTGTACCATAAATATTAAAAAAGATTGCATGACTTACTTTGAAGCCTGAAGTTTTCTTTTCTTGGAAACTGTTTCTACAGATGAAGATTCATGTTCCAACTTTTTCTCTTCTTTGACCAAATTACATGCATCCGCCTCCTCTATTGCTTCAGCCATAGCCATAGCCATACCTTTCCTTTTTACGCTGAAATAACAAACATATGTCCACTTGTTAAAGAACCAGTTACATGTTTGTATAAAAAAATTATATTACAAAATTAAAAAATTAAGCTGACCAAAGAAATTCCCTGTCCTTCAGGATTCGAGTTGATTCAGATGGTGGTAACACAAAGCCATCCATCTTCAAGAGAGAAAAACTTATAAAATTCATTACAGGATCTTTTCAACTCCATTAGTTTAGTAGTTTTGGAGGTTATTTAGGCCCATTTGCAGCTTTAAGAACTAATTCAGCATTCTCATTACATATGGTATGAGAGATTATGTTTGATTTTGTAAGATACCTTTCAGCTTAACCTGTAAATTATGAAGAGATAGTTTTCGTTTCTGTTCAATGCCCAAAAGGGTTTAGGTATTTGAAGATTATATACACACTGGTTTGATGTTCAATACAAGAATTTAGCTTGCTCATTTCACAGTTTTAAGGTAAAACTGATAATGGTAAACAGATGTTAACAAAAGAGCTCTGCGTGACTTGATACAATAGCTGAACAAACCCTAATTCGAACCACTAACAAAAATCTTCATCACAACGCCATTGACATCCTAAACGACGGATTATACTCCTTATCAAGAAAAGGTTGTCTGAGAGGAAACTCATCACCTTCGTTGATATGCAATTTAGAGTGAAATTAGGCTTTGTGCATTTCTGCATTAGCATCGACAGATTGGGGTAGAAATGGAAAGAGAATTACGTAGAGGAGGATGCCATTAGGGCACGAATCACGAAGGTTGAAACTGTGAAGAAGATGATTGCAGACGTCGGATATTTTCTGATGTTGGTTTGGTTCGTCTAGAAGCCAACTCTGGTTCATACCGTCGGATCGTTGTGTTTCGCTAAGAAGCGAACCATCCTCGAACACCAAACGAAGCCTTATCGACTGCGTCTCCATTTGTAACAACACTCTGTACACTTGGATAGAGCACAAGTAAGCCTTAAAACCCCATCAATCATCATCATAAATCTCTGTAGCAATGAATATCGACGGCGTTTGGGATTTTATATATATATATATATATATATATATATATATATATATATATATATTCTAATTTCAGGGGTTTTCACGCCAATCGATAGGCCTACGGCACATAATAAGGTAGACTGTCAAAATTTTGCGTTCTTCCAAATGACGTTTATACCATATGGTAGTCTACTCATTCACACCATATGTTTATACCATATGTTTGATATTGTTAGTGCGAGCAGCAACCATTTTCTAAGCGAGCAGCAACCATTTTCTACTTCAACAACTTCTACTTATAGTTGTTTGGTGTTTTGTGACTAAACTACCCTATGTACAGTTTTTTTGTTCGTATTTAAATTTTGCTGAAAGATCAATTTTCCCCTACACTCAAATATGCATCAGTGTAGTAAAATGGGACAGTATTTACAGTTTTTTTTATGTTCAAATTGAATGCAAAGTTTTTTTTATTAAAATTGACTGATTTCATCAATAAAAAATATCTTCTTTTTTATCATTAATAGTTTGTGACCGAACTACCCTTATGTAATGTTTTTTTTGTTCATATTTCAATTTTGTTGAAAGACCAATTTGCCCTTGCACTCAAATATGCCACAGTACAGTAAAATGAGACAGTGTATGTTTTTTTAATTTGACTTGCCTCATAACAATACTCAAACTATAAATAAATAGTTGATCAAATGACATATACAAAGAACAAACAACGGTAAAAATTGTCTCATCCGACCCCCGCAACGCGGGGGTCCCCACTTAGTTATTATTATTATTATTATTTTTTACAAAAGGTGTAAATTAAAGACAAAACTATACAAATAATCACCCTAAAAATTATCACTTTTGTTCAAAAAAATTTGAACAAAAGGTCCAAACTTTTAATTTTGTTGCGAGTTTGATCTAATTTGCCTTGAACTTTTTTTGCTCTTAATTTTTTTTCTTTTTTATTTATTTAAATATTTGACTGATTAAAAAAAAAATAAAAAAGAATTTTAAAAAAGACAAAACTCTCTCTCTAAAAAAATTGGGTTCATCTGAATAAGAGTTACACCCACAAAAAATTGACCACCCTTCTCTTGCTTCCTTTCATCTTCATCACTTTCATCGACATATTTCTAGAATCCAAAATCAAACCTAAGAAATCGAGTTTGAGCCTCATACCTTCAACAAAGTGATTGAAGTATCATCGGTCCTCCACAACCCTGTCGGAGAACGATGCAAAGATGCACCATCAGCCATGGTCACCCCTGTTTCACTCACTTCTCGTCACACACAAAACATTCACCAGAAACCTTTGGTGAATCACGATATGGAGCTTTCATACATCACCTTTCACCTCCTCCTTTCTAATGTCATTTCTATATTCTCCATCCTCTCTGTTTTGTGTTAGGTTAAAACCCTAAATCAGATCTTAACACAAACCAAAGTTATCAAATTGAAATCGTTTCAAGATCTAATTAACTCATAATGAGACTCATAATAATATTATGGGTGATGGTGGATGTGAGGTTTGGGCGGAGGAAAGATGAAAGAAAATAGCAACAGTACGGAGAGGATGAAGATTGTGGCCTGATCTCCGTTTGTAAAGGGGACTAATGTCAGAGGAGAGAGCACCGATTAGATTGTGGATCTGCTGAAAACATGGGGTTTCTTGAAAACTTCATGAATATATAAAACTGGATCTTGAAATGATGTATATGATACATACATTTAGGTTAGATTTTCTACATTTATATTGCTTATTGATTTTCTGCAAATTTCCGGGTTTGTAAATTGAGAACCAAATCTTCGATTGCGTGGTATGTCTGTGTGTTTACCATCAACGAAGCTAGGTATAGTGGCTCTAAACTGGATGTTGATCATTTTCTAGAAAAACCGATTATAAAACCGATTACTGGGTAGGTGTTCTTTCAGTTTTTCGTGAATACCCTTTTGTGTAACACTCGTGTTTCTAGCCTAGGCATTAATATTAAGGTGATAGTCTAGGTTAACCTTTGTAACTCATTTTGAAGAAATGAAAAGGAATTATGTGAATATTATGTGTTTTATGTGTTTTATGCTTAATTACTAGGAGTTAATTAATTAAGAATAAAAATGAGCGTCGAAAATAAATATTAGATAAAGCCGATATCTATTAAGAAAGTTGTAGTGGTCGTGAAAAGGATTACGGATATATAAAGAATGCCGAAATCCGAGTTATAACGAAGAAGTTATGACATGTTGAAGTTTCGCGACAAAACCGGCACGGTGCCGAATGCCGTAAAAAGTGAGTTTTTGATAAACTACTTTTTAGCCTTAGTGATCTAAACGAAACTCGTAGTGTTCGTTAAACCGAGAGTAGGTATAAAAAGAACGCCCAAATCTGACTTCGTATAAGGAGGTTATGATTTTTCGAAGTTTCAGCTTAGCAGTAGACAGCTAAAAACTCGAATTTTAGATCGAGTGATTTTTAACCGACACGACCTAAACGAGAATCGAAGGTCTCATAAATAGTAGCACAACGGTAAAAAGTCTGACGAAAACGGACGTCGGATGAAGAAGTTATGAATTTTTAACGGATTTCCTGTCCCGGTCTGTTAAAAATAATAATATAAAAATTAAAGTCAAAATTAGCCGACGAAGTCTAAACGAAAGTTGTAGAGCGTAATTTTACCTACGCGTGCATATAAAGAACGTCAAAAACGGAGCTCGTATGCGAAAGTTATGGATTTTAGAAGATTTGGCGCAAAAATCGAGAAAAAATCCCCAAAACCGAGGAATTTCGCACACGTGGACTTCGGCCACGTGTCCTCGCTTCGCATCCGACGCGTGTCCGGGAATTGCTGAGTCATCCGAACCGGAGAGCTAATCCGAAGTGGTCCAATGAAGCTGCGACGCGTGCCCCTTTCCTCGTGCGTCCGAGCTTCGCATGGTGCCACGGACCCCCCCTCATCGGACCCGGACTTCGGTCCAATCAGAACATGCCAGCGAGGGCTTCGAATGCGCAACCCACGTGCTCTTCGCTCTGGATCTGCAACGCGTGGCTTCTTCTCAACCGTTGGATCAGGAGGCTCGCACCTATAAATAGGAGGGTGCGAGACCTCCCGGGTATACTTTGAAAAATTGTCAATTTTAGCCCCTTTTTCAATATTTCTTTCATTTCAACTTCCCTCGAAGCCCTGGTATCAATTATAACCCCCGGAATATGCCACGAAGTGCCCGAGAAGCCCGGAAAATTTATCTTTTCGGTTTTGAAGCCCGACCCTTCGCAGAGCCCGGTTTCTCAATAAAACTCCCGGTTTTATTAGAAACGATCGTTTTAGGAAACGAATTGCTGCCCGATTTTCATTAAATCAGGTGAGTGTGTAGTTACTTTCACCTTACACATAGATATGAAGTATTTTATATAAAATACGTGATGTGTGAATATTTTTTTGTTTGTTTATTTGAGTTGGATGTTGAAGGAATGATTTATACATGTTTTTAAATAATTTAAACTGTATATGTATTTTTATCTACAAAAATATTGGGTAAAACATGGGTAGATGAAATAGTGGGTGTGTGATGAAAAGTGAGTTGGATAAATGAGATGATTTGTGATATAGATCATAAGTTGAGGGTGAGTGGTGAAAGGAGATCATAAGTTGAGGGTGAGTGGTGAACTATGAGAAAAGCCCTTACCCAAACGGTGACCCCCGTCGTTCAGCAGAGTAGGGATGACAACCATGGACTATTCTAGACGGTCTATGGAACACTAGCAGGCTTGCAACCTGTAGGTGGGTGAACTATACGTTCATCAGGTGTACTCTAAAAACCCATTGACATGTATGACAGGGGTGAATACTGTCAATAATACTGTCGATAAATAAGAGCTATGGACTTAGCACCTGTTGTATAAACCCTGGTGATGGTGTGACCTTGTGCCTATTCCTTAGGATGAATCCTTAGGAAGGAGTGATAGTTGAATCTTAGGGTAAACCCTTAAGAAATTAATAAGATAATGGGGTTGGGGTAATTTGGTTGATTGATTGATGTTTAAGTACAATAAATTTATTTATTGTGGGTTGAAAACCCTATATGCTCACCAGGCTTCCAAGCCTGACCCACTCAGCTTTTTATATTACAGGTAGAGGACCTCGAGCATAGTCGGATGATGATGATGAGTGATTTTTGGATTATAGGCCAGTAGTTATAAATAACTGTTGTAAGGCTTATAATGTCTTGTTTATGCTTTTGATCTGTATCGGAACATGACATCCCGAGGTTTTGATATAAAAGGAAATTATATATTTCTTAAAGAAAGGTTTTGACAAACTTTTATCATGTTTTATTTTGGGGACCAATTCCGCAACATCTTTTAAAAAGATTTCTCTGATTTTATTTTAAAAAGCATAAATTAAATCGGTCTTTTCTAGCCGAGAAATTAGGGGATGTCACATTTTGGATTTTCAGTGTTCAGAAATCCATTTTAGTGACTTTTGTGTAGATCTGAGAGAGAGAGAGAGAGAGAGAGAGAGAGGGGGTTAATTGGTTTTCTATTTTGTTTTATTTATTTATTTTTATCAAAAAATAAATACAAATAATCAAAAACTAGAAAAGAAAAAAGTAAGGGCAAAATCGTCATTATAAAAAAGTTCAAAGGAAAATGGACTAAATTCGCAACAAAATGAAAAGTTTGGACCTCTAGTTCTAGTCTAAACCTTTTTGGACCAAAGTGACAATTTTCAGCTAACCACAGGGACCATTGTGCAGATTTGTCAATATTAAATTATCTGATGTAAAAATCGGATAATGACTTAAAATGGTAGTCATTGAGTTTTTTTGTCCATATTTTCCCATTAAACTTGTTGAACTGTTCATAAAACATATTTATTACCTGTTATCGGAGGTTCAACCAGCTTCCAACGTTCTTGTGAGCTCCGGCGAGACTCCGG